CGGGCCGTTCCCAAGTCCGGAACGGGCCGTTCTCGAATCAGAACGGGCCGTTCCGATGCTTCTCAAAGGCCTAAAAATTGTTGGTTGGAACGGGCCGTTCTAGACCAGAACTGGCCGTTCCAAACCGAAAAAATGGCCTAAAATCTGTACCCCAGAACGGGCCGTTCTGAACTCAGAACGGGCGGTTCTGGTTCCCCGAAACGGGCCGTTTTGATTTCAGAACGGGCCGTTCCCGGGTGCAAAAATAGAACTTAACGTTTGGATCCGGAACGGGCTGTTCTGAATCCAGAACGGGCCGTTCCGGCCCACATCTGATGCTTATAAATAAGAAATCTCGGGCACAGTTCAGGGGACCTCCAAAATTTTTTCCAAAGCTCCATAGAGCTCGAAATTTCTCCCTTTTTTCTCTCTCTCTCTCCTATTGTACTTCTTGAGTTTTGTGAGGCTTATTATAGTGTGAAAGGTTGCCACAAAGCACCTAAAACCTCCATAGTTGAAGATCCAATAAAGCTTGTTACGAGGTATTACTCATCAATCTCTCGTTTTATCTTTCTCTTCTAATTGCTTGAGGAAGCAACTCTCTCTCTTCTTCAAGCAACTCATGTTACCACGTCAGAATCCTCCAATGGCAAGGAACCGGGACTTGAGTTGCTTCATGGGACAAGCAACTCCCATTAGAGTTGCTCTTAGTAAAATTTACACCGCTATAATTACAACCCCCCTCATATATATATATATATTAAATATGACTTTTACTAAGTATTACACAATCCAACTTTTAGATTGAAAGTTCATATCTCTTAGATTACATATACAAAATTTTATATTAAACAAGATGATTTGATACTTCATTTTTATAAAAATAAAATTGATGTAATATATTCATTTCAAAATACACTAAAATATGAACACTTTGATTACCTTCTAGTTGTTGTTCAATTTTAACAAAATTTGATATACACATATGAAGTGATATGAACTTTCAATTTAACGGTTGAATTTACAAAATTTACATTTAATATAAAGTTATTGAATAGCGTAATACTTAGTAAAAGTTACAACTAGCAAAATCAGCAATATGTTTTAGTGTATTTCATATCACTAAAACAAATAAGAATATCATATAAGAATGCCTAGGACAACAGAGGCATCACTTAGGTCTTTCATATCAAAGTGGCTGTTTAACATAAATTTTGTCTTAGTCAAAAGTTCAACATTGCTACTAGCAAGAAGAATATCATCAACATATAAGACAAGAATGATGAAATGGCTCCCACCAATCTTCAAGTAAATGCACTGATTTGAGGCATTTCCCTTGAAGCCAAGAGAAATGACTACTTGATCAAATTTCAAATACCATTGTCTAAAGGCTTGTCTCAGTTCATAGATAGACTTTTTCAACCTACAAACCAAATACTTTTTGCCTTTTTCAGCAAAGCGATCAGGTTGAACCATATAGACTTCCTCAAATAAACCTCCATTCAGAAAAGCAATTTTGACATCCATTTGGTGAAGCTCCAAATCAAAATGAGCCATTAAAGCCATAACAACATGAAAAACAT